AAAAATTTTGTATATACTTGTTATAAGGCCATAAAAATAACAAAAAACAAATAACTTAAGGACGAGCACACCTAAAAGTTAAACATTCTAATAATAGAAATATTAACAAAAACCAACAAAACCAACAACCACATGATCAAGTGAATTGCAGCGGAATAGCTGCGCTTGATTGTAGTTGGCTTAGCAAAGTGAAATAGTGGAAAATAAGCAACAAGAATTAACAAGGCAAACTTAGCACAGTGCGTAGGCAACTGGCTGAGTCAGTGGTGATCGTCGGTTCGAATCCTACTGAAAGAAGTCTGATGAGGAAATGTGGTGATTTCCGAAATAGCTATCACTTCTACCATTTTTTCAAATTATTGTTGCTTTTCCACAATAAGTTTTCACAAAAACGGCCTTAAGCTCATAAAAATTGTTGAATATTATTGTTATAAGACCATAAAAAAAACAAAGAATTTATTTTAATGAAAGAAAATAAATAAGAATGAGCTTTAGTCTTACCGAACGAAAACCGTCAGGCAATTTTTATTGCGGTCAACCATCAAATATTTGTTTTGGATTATATATTCTCGGTGTCCCGAATGCTGTTCATACGTGTTGCAGCGCACGCGCACCAGTGTTTGATTTTTTTTTCTGATAAGCCATTGCATGGAGATCATGTGTCAACGCTCTAAGTGCAACAAATAAATAACAACAATAAAAACCAACAGTAAAAGCAACCAAACAAAAGCAAAACAACAAAACTTAAACAGCTAGAAATCACAGGTAGCAATATTTACGATTAATCGATAGCCCCACGAATGATTTTAAAAATCAAATCACAAATTAATATTTAATTTTTATTGTAATTTTATCCAGAAAATTCCTTTATAAAACGTTTAAATTTATATTATACGTCTCACAGCAGCGAACAGGTAATTTCGCAATAATATGCGTTACATAAAAATATGATGAAATATTAAACTGCAGTTTAGTATATTGCACGAAAATATTTGTTTATTGTATGCATTTAAAAACGTGTTTCTGCATTAGTACTATGTACGAAAGTATTTAATAAATAAAACTAATACAGAAGTTTAGATTTCGTATATTTTAAAACCACACGTAAATATTTAGTTTTACTTTAAGAAGCAACTCACACGTATCAAATGATTGAAACATAAAATTAACATATACGTTTTTTATATCTTAGATTCTTCAAGTTCATGCTGAAGATGGTGATAAAGGCAATCCTCGAGAAATTCGATATGGTCTTGTTTCTGAAGGAAATCCATTTACTAGCTTCTTTGATATTAATGATACCAGTGGTAAGCAGTTAAAAATAAAAACCCATTTATAATTTTCATAAAATAGGCCAATAAAATATGTATCCTTAATTTAATTATGTATGTGAAAATTTATTATGCGCCAAACATTTTGTATATACATTTATGTTTGCTAATATATATTTCGAAAGCCGTTTTTTTCTGTTGGCAAAGCTCGAGATCGGAGCGCAATGAGATATAGTCGTTGCGCTGGGTATGCAGTTACAGTTGCATGGCTATACTCAATCCCGAATCTTGCGTCCTCGTTCGCGCACTCTGGGCAATGTGAGCAACCCATGTGCGAGATCCGGTAACCAATCCGAGNTCCTCGTAAGGACAAAAGCTGACATCACCGCCATCCAAGAAATGCGTAGACGAGGCAAGGCAAGCAATGTCTGGGGCCTTGCGACGTCCACTACAGCTGCCATTTAAAGGAGCGCTAATTCATTTATTCATTCAAATAGTAACCTAGAAATACAAAATTTCTTACAGACTACATAGAACTAACTATATTTTCAACAATTATATGTACATACATAATACGTAGTTATTTAAAAAATTGATTGAGCGATAATTTGAAATTATACACTAAGCGAAATAGTTATATGGGCACTCAAACAAATAAGTTTTTTTTTATAATAAAACAATCATTGTTAGATCTTTTTATCTTTCAACAAAAATTGACAAAACGATAGCAAGTATAAAACATGTTAAAGGTATTACTTCAGCCTTTTATTGTAAAAATTTAAACGTTTTCAAGAGCATAAAAGGAAATAGATATATGGGACAAAATTAATATTGAATTCATTCTTAAGAAAAAGAACATAAAATAATATTCAATAGCTTGTATGTTCTCCGTTGTTTATTGTGACTGATACTAGCCGGCGTGGCATGGAATTTACGAGTGACTGAAGGACAATTAGGTCGATTTTTGTCCATTCTTCTTGAATAGCTTTTTTGAGCTGCAATAGGGTATAAAATTGGCGTCCACCTTTATAAACTTGTTTGCTAAGAATGCTCCAGAGACTCTCCATTGGATTTAGGTCTGGACTAACTGCAGGCCACTTCAGCACAGGAATATTTTTCGACGCGAAAAACTCCTTTGTACGCTTAGCACTATGGATTGGAGCATTATCCTGTTGATACGTCCAAGACTCACCGTGAAATTCTTCGGCAAAATTCAATAAAACGTCATCCAATACTTCAATGTAATTTTCTGCGTTCATCTTATGAGAAATAAAACAAATTGGCGTCTTGTCGCGGTAGCTAAAAGCAGCCCAGGTCATAAGAGAGGCCCCGTGGAAGTTTCGGGAGTGGCGAATTTGTCGAGGCTCGCGAATATCTCTCCAATACTTTTTACAACCATCTGGCCCATCGAGATTACATGTTTTTTCNGGCGTAAGCTTTGGTTTAGCTAGTCGATTTTGGTATTTTAAATTGGAATCTTCACTCAAAATTTGCTGTATTCTTCTCTTCGTAATATTGAGAGAAAGTTAATTTCTAATTTGGTTAGGGCTGATCTTTTTATTGACAACCAACCGTCTTATCTCTCTCTTACACCTGTCGTCAATCCTAGGTTTCGGATCAGTTCTTTTAATTTTTCCGAACCCATCGGGATTTTTGAAAAAATTTTGAATGGTATTTTTATTTCGTTTTACTTTTAGCGCTATTTTGCGAACTGAGACTCCCGATTTACTATAAGCTAGAATACTAGCGCGCTCCTAAGTAGATAACTGCGTTCCTCTTGGCATAGTGTCCTAAAAAGTTATTTTCCCAGCATGAGCATTATTTATTTCGTAATTAAAACTACTCAACTTTCCTTAAGGAGTCTTTAAAATTGTTAAATTTGTATAAAAATATCACGCAATTTCCACGACAAGAAATAAAGTGTTCACGGACGCGCTTGTTCCTTATAACTATTTCCTTCTAGAAACTCAAATTTCAAGCAAAGCTCAAACGTAACGGAACTTGAAGCGAAAGAGTAAATAATTTAAAACTACCGCTAGTACGTGCATACATTTGTGTGTATTATAAGGCGACTCAAGAAAATAGTATGCAGATATTTTAGAAGAAAAATTAAGAACTTGGTTTGTCNTGACTTTAAAGTGTATGGATCCGTAAAATCGGAAGCAAAACGTCGAATGAAGGCAAGTGTAGAATAAGATTTGGCAATGACAAATGGCCAAGAAACTGGAAAGTGTAGTCAAAGATTACACCCAGATCAGAAATTTGATTGAGAGTATTAAGACGCGAGTTTTTTATAAAATATGAGGTAGAGGTTAAATGCTTACACTTAGAAAATTACACATGAGAACATTCCTTGATGTTTAGTTAAAGTCGATTCTTATCACACCATTCGACGACATTGTTGAGATCTGACTGAAGATTGTATGAATCAGACAGGCTTGATACTATTTTAAAAATTTTTAAGTCGTCAGCGTATAAAAGAAACTCAGAGAAATGAAAACATTGAGATATATCATTAATAACAAGTAAGAAAGTCTAAGTTCGGGCGGAGCCGAACATTAAATACC